TGTGGCGAAAAAACGCAAGCGGGCAGATGATTGGGGAGCCCCAGGAGTCCCTCAGGGTGACAAGCACCGGGCCCCGCCCTACACAGAGAACAGGTAGCAAAACCAAAACTCGGCCCCCAACTAAAACGCAAAAGTCATCCAGTGTCCTCCGGCAGAGCAAAAGCCAGCCGCCCACCACGACTGAGGGCACACCAGGTGCCCACCAAGTCCCACCAACCCCCGACACCTCTCGGCCAAGCCGGCCCCCGAACATTGAACGGGGTGAGAATAGCTTGAGCTACCTCATCCCTTTGTGTGTATTTTACCTCAATAAACTTATTTCAATTTCAATTTCAATTTCAGCCCCCGAACACCGTCACCCCGCCGGGAGAACCAGCCAGAACATTTAAAAAAAATCTACCAACAATCCCGTGACCCAAGGCGATATGTACGCCAGGCGTCGTACAATCAGACCGTTGAATAGGGATGCCAAACGGCAGTACCAAAGCCAATACGCGAAAACAGAACGTGCTCAGGCAGCCCCCAGGGGGAGGAGGCGTCCAGACGTCCGCTCGTCGTCAAGGTTGAACCAGGAGTGCTTTAGAGAAAGAAGTACACAGTATGTGGCGTTGACAAATACAAATAATTGGCAACAGAACCTAAACACCTAACCTAACCTTTTCCAAATATTTTCTCAAATCTAAATTAATAATATAATTTATTGGCATGTTGTGCATATATAGGCATAGGTTACGTGTTTAGGTTCTGTTAGCGATTATTTGTATTTGTAGTACGTGGGTGAAGCATTTACAGCGTTGTGGTTCGAAGAGAATTCGTTGTTCCGGAAGTGTTCGAACGAAATCAGTTGTGAGTCGTGTGTAAACCGTTTTTCATCCATAAACAGGGGGTTTGGCGGGTGGATGGAATCACTTTTGGGTCTTGGAAGGTGAGAAAATTTCCGCTTTGGATGATCATCATGTAAAAAATTATGAATGCGTCTGTGGGGTCGACCTCTGGATGGAATGGACTTGAGTCGAGGACGGGTTGTTGAAGGACGGGCTGCTAGTGGTAGATCATTTTGAATGATCTGCTTCGAACGAACCCGACTGTTTTACCTGGACCCTAATTTCTTTGTGCAATAATAATAATAATAATAACAATAATAATAATAATGCATATATGTACTAAATTAATCCTAGAAAAAGTTAGGTTTGGCTTTTGCCATGTCCTCGGGAAAATCAGTTGTACTAACGAGAATTTATGTGTGCAACAGTCTATATTTTGTAAATTCCGCCAACAGTTGCCACAGGTAAACGGGATTATCACAAACTTTTTCAGGATAGGTGGAGTTGGATTTCCTTGCAAACAGTGTGGCGAGGCGCTGTTGTGGTCTACCAGGTGAGTTACAGTCCCGGGGGCCTACGTGTTGCTTCTCCCGCAGGTTATATAAAGGGGGAGGGAATGAGTAGAGTTCGTCAGTGTACCGCGTGCCAGTGTCCGTGGTGGGTTGTCCTCGTCCCGCCCGGCCTCCCCTCCTTCACCGCGCGCTCTGTGCTCCACAATTCCACGCCATACATGTGGTTACCGTTGTCTGGCACACATTACGTAATATTTGCAACTTTACAACAATAAATGACGAATGTTTGTTAGCATAAAAGGAAAATTTGAACTAAACAAAGTGTGAATAACTTTTATAAAGAATATAATTAGTTAACGAGCTTGTTAACAGTAGAATAATAAACAAGGAGCTTCATCCTTCTACCAGGGACGAGGAAGGAAGACATTCACCAAGATGGTTGTCGGTATATTGGAGCGTGGAAGACTTACTAGTGCTGAGGGCTGCCATGGTGTTCATTTTACTAGTCAAGTATACTAGAATCGTTGAATATTAGCTATAATTCTAAGTTTCTTGTGTAAATTTTTATATTCTCCCGCTGATCCAGGATAAGGGAGACGCATTTGATGATAGAAAAGTTGTTGGTAGTTACTTAATGAAAGCATTGGTCACTAGGCTGCGCCGCCTGCACTTCCATGGAGTTGATGGCGTGAAAGGCATGCCTATAATTACCGAGGAGTATGAGCTTCCCAAGTATTAGTCATTTTTTATGCCAAGTTCTATGTTATAGACCTAATGAAATGGTTTGTACATGAACATTGGAGTGTGTGTGTACACATCTAGGGTCGAGCACTAGCTCCAAGCCCCGCCTTCCGAACATTTTGTAGTTTAACGCATTCTAGTTATTTACAACTATAATACTGAAGTGAAATGTACTCCAGCGTTTGTGTCTATCATTGTACTATATGTAGGTGCCACATATCTGTGGGTCATCGGGTACGGTCACCAGACGTCTAAACGTCGCTACTGCTAGGCTCGACTAGTAGCACCTCTGGGACTTGCTACCTGCACCTGCAGTAGCTAGACTTGGGCTCGACTAGTAGCACCTCTGGGACTTGCCACCTGCACCTGCAGAAGTAGCTAGGCTTGGGCTCGACTAGTAGCACCTCTGGGACTTGCTACCTGCACCTGCAGAAGTAGCTAGGCTTGGGCTCGACTAGTAGCACCTCTGGGACTTGCTACCTGCACCTGCAGAAGTAGCTAGGCTTGGGCTCGACTAGTAGCACCTCTGGGACTTGCCATCTGACCAAATGTAAACTGTCAGCAGAACTATTCACATACCTTAGGTCACTATGTAATTGAATGTGAAAAAAGTAAAGAATTTATAAATAATTAATGTTCAAGAAATCTGTATTTCATTAAAAATTATGTACTATCATAGATCTTATTCCAGTATACAAAATTTGCCTTGTTTAGGTAGAGCATGTACGAGATGGTAAACCTTGTACCGCCACCGGTGCATGATAACTTGCTTAGTTAAACGAATTTTGGGGCTCAGTTCCCGGGCCCATTATGTGCTTCTATAATCGTTTCCATTGTCACTCACAGGATGGGTACTGAGCGTATTATAAATTAACTAAACTTAAAAGAGTTATTTCCGATATATTTGGGACTTAATTGTATCTAACGATCATCTATGTCTTCTCGTTCTACTACATGGTCGAGCTTCAGTGTTTGGGTCTCGCCTTTCTAGTCGCCGGCCGTCAAATGCAGACTTTTATTCAATTTTTTTCTTACCGCGTATACTTTTAAATTGTAGTTGGCTTCTACAGCCTCGTCTAGTTCTCCAACTGTTCTTATGCTTAACAAACATTATACTTCTGTGTCTTCCTTTCCTTCTTGTTAATTGGTATTCATTGTGAACATTTTCTCTTTTTACACCCTGTTTATTCCTGTAAGTATTTTATATTTGTATTATGTGTCTTCTCTCTTATCTTTTCCTGTGTCGTTAATTCCATTTCGTTCAACATTTGTACCCAATTTCTCGTAATTCTCGATTGAGCCTCGTTGTAAGTGTCTGTTTCTTTTCAAGTTTCCTTATGACCTTTGGATGTGGGACTCCACGACGGGGCTGCATACTCTAGGACTTGTCTCGCGTAGGTGGTGTACAGGGTTCTTAATGTCTTCTCATTGAGGCTCCTCTAGATTGTTCTGATATCCACGTTTTGAGAATGCTAACGAAGTTATATTTCTGTTTACCTCTGGGGTAGGGGTTATTAAGTCTACTTGGTTTGTTTGTTTAGTTGCTTGAGGGATTTGGTTCCTGTTGATTGTGTACTGTCCAGCTGGCCTCCTCTCTTGTCTAGTAGGTATTTATTGGCCTAACTGTAGAGATCTACAACGTCTCATTAATTTTACTTCATCCACAAACACTGACATGTGGGAAGCTACTCCCGTGGTAATATCACTGACATATTTGTTCTATCTGGACCGAGCCTCAGGGAACTCCGCTTGTTGTTTCACACTAATCTGGTTTTTCATACCTTATTGTCTCTCTGCCTCCTATCTGTTAGGTACTCTGATTTATTTCAGTGTTATTCTGGTTACTTTCGCCTTCTTCACCAACTTATGAGGATGCGCGGGTGCGCTCACACCCGTCAAGGCACCCCACAGTGTAGAGGCCTTTTTATTTGTGCAGTAAATCCACTCCAGCCTCCATCTTGAGGTTATCTTGAGATGATTTCGGGGCTTTAGTGTCCCCGCGGCCCGGTCCTCGACCAGGCCTCCACCCCCAGGAAGCAGCTCGTGACAGCTGACTAACACCCAGGTACCTATTTTACTGCTAGGTAACAGGGGCATAGGGTGAAAGAAACTCTGCCCATTGTTTCTCACCGGCGCCTGGGATCGAACCCAGAACCACAGGATCACTCATTGGTAATCCTCATTGGTAATTTAAATTTAGGTAAATCGTCTTGAAGATAAAAGATGTCAATGGCGATTGATATAAAGAGATGTTGTGCAGATGACTAGAATGATAATAATAATACTTTATTTAGATGAAAGTACATACATAAAAAATGAGTTACAAGCAGAATGTTGGAGTTCTAGATAGAGCTAGTATGTACTATGCCTAAAGCCAATATTATGCACAGCGTTTCGGGCAAGACAAGGCAGAGAGCAGACAGTGATGACGAGCACCCACCACCCTCTCCTCCTCCTCCATAATCATGCTCCAATGTCATAAGACCAGCTGGACTCTATATCAAGTACAATTTTTAAAATGGTGCTCTACGTACACGCCACCAGAAGCTCTGAAAATGCGTACACGCATGTAATGTAATTCGTGTAATGTGTGACTCGCATTACATGAGCAGACCTGTAATGGCTCCAGGAAGCCATTACATCTGCTACACACAAAACTATTCCAGTCATCATCCCAGGAAACACAAAATAGAAGAATTATTGGTTCAGCAGTGAAGAAGTTGAAGAGCGCAAGCACACAGTCAACATCTTCAGGACACGTATCAAGAGGATCCGCCACACCAGAAGGAAGCACAGTACTAAGAGCAGTGGCAGCTGAAGCACCACCCGTTACAAAAGATGGGAGGGATGGAGGGAGGCAAGATGGTACGACGTGCTAAACTCTGAATGAACATTGTAGCCTTACAATTGGAAGAAATATTTAATGGAAAAACTCAACCTTAGATTTATTGTCAACTATTGTAGGAACCAAGAATATTTGCATTCCCATTTGAAGAGCGTCATCAAATCAGCAGCTTCAGGCACCAGCCACGGGCACCAGCCAGCGGGCACCAGCCACAGGGCACCAGCCAGTGGGCACCAGCCAGAGGACACAAGCCAAGGGGCACCAGCCAGAGGACACAAGCCAGACGGCACCAGCCAGCGGGCACCAGCCAGCGGACACCAGCCAGAGGACACAAGCCAGGGGGCACCAGCCAGAGGGCACCAGCCAGAAGACACAAGCCAGAGGGCACCAGTCAGCGGGCACCAGCCAGCGGGCACCAGCCAGCGGACACAAGCCAGAGGACACCAGCCAGAGGGCACCAGCCAGAGGACACAAGCCAGAGGACACCAGCCAGCGGGCACCAGCCAGCGGGCACCAGCCAGCGGGCACCAGCCAGCGGGCACCAGCCAGCGGGCACCAGCCAGAGGACACAAGCCAGACGGCACCAGCCAGCGGACACCAGCCAGAGGGCACCAGCCAGCGGGCACCAGCCAGAGGACACCAGCCAGCGGGCACCAGCCAGCGGGCAACAGCCAGAGAGCACCAGCCAGAGGACACCAGCCAGAGGACACCAGCCAGAGGACATCAGCCAGAGGGCACCAGCCAGAGGACACCAGCCAGCGGGCACCAGCCAGCGGGCAACAGCCAGAGGGCACCAGCCAGAGGACACCAGCCAGAGGACACCAGCCAGAGGTCACCAGCCAGCGGGCACCAGCCAGCGGGCACCAGCCAGCGGGCACCAGCCAGCGGGCACCAGCCAGAAGGCACCAGCCAGCGGGCACCAGCCAGAGGACACCAGCCAGCGGGCACCAGCCAGAGGACACCAGCCAGAGGACACAAGCCAGACGGCACCAGCCAGCGGACACCAGCCAGAGGACACAAGCCAGGGGGCACCAGCCAGAGGACACCAGCCAGAGGACACCAGCCAGAGGGCACCAGCCAGAGGACACCAGCCAGCGGGCACCAGCCAGCGGGCAACAGCCAGAGGGCACCAGCCAGAGGACACCAGCCAGAGGACACCAGCCAGAGGTCACCAGCCAGCGGGCACCAGCCAGCGGGCACCAGCCAGCGGGCACCAGCCAGAAGGCACCAGCCAGCGGGCACCAGCCAGAGGACACCAGCCAGCGGGCACCAGCCAGAGGACACCAGCCAGAGGACACAAGCCAGACGGCACCAGCCAGCGGACACCAGCCAGAGGACACAAGCCAGGGGGCACCAGCCAGAGGGCACCAGCCAGAGGGCACCAGCCAGCGGGCACCAGCCAGAGGGCACCAGCCACCGGACACCAGCCAGAGAGCACCAGCCAGAGGACACCAGCCAGAGGACACCAGCCAGAGGACACCAGCCAGAGGGCACCAGCCAGAGGACACCAGCCAGAGGACACCAGCCAGCGGGCACCAGCCAGCGGGCACCAGCCAGCGGGCACCAGCCAGAGGGCACCAGCCAGAGGGCACCAGCCAGAGGGCACCAGCCAGCGGGCACCAGCCAGCGGGCACCAGCCAGCGGACACCAGCCAGCGGGCACCAGCCAGCGGGCACCAGCCAGCGGGCACCAGCCAGCGGGCACCAGCCAGAGGGCACCAGCCAGCGGGCACCAGCCAGCGGGCAACAGCCAGAGGGCACCAGCCAGAGGACACCAGCCAGAGGACACCAGCCAGCGGGCACCAGCCAGCGGGCACCAGCCAGCGGGCACCAGCCAGAAGGCACCAGCCAGCGGGCACCAGCCAGAGGACACCAGCCAGCGGGCACCAGCCAGAGGACACCAGCCAGAGGACACAAGCCAGACGGCACCAGCCAGCGGACACCAGCCAGAGGACACAAGCCAGGGGGCACCAGCCAGAGGGCACCAGCCAGAGGACACAAGCCAGACGGCACCAGCCAGCGGACACCAGCCAGAGGACACAAGCCAGGGGGCACCAGCCAGAGGACACCAGCCAGAGGACACCAGCCAGAGGGCACCAGCCAGAGGACACCAGCCAGCGGGCACCAGCCAGCGGGCAACAGCCAGAGGGCACCAGCCAGAGGACACCAGCCAGAGGACACCAGCCAGAGGTCACCAGCCAGCGGGCACCAGCCAGCGGGCACCAGCCAGCGGGCACCAGCCAGAAGGCACCAGCCAGCGGGCACCAGCCAGAGGACACCAGCCAGCGGGCACCAGCCAGAGGACACCAGCCAGAGGACACAAGCCAGACGGCACCAGCCAGCGGACACCAGCCAGAGGACACAAGCCAGGGGGCACCAGCCAGAGGGCACCAGCCAGAGGGCACCAGCCAGCGGGCACCAGCCAGCGGGCACCAGCCAGAGGGCACCAGCCAGCGGGCACCAGCCAGAGGGCACCAGCCAGAGGGCACCAGCCAGAGGACACCAGCCAGCGGACACCAGCCAGAGGACACCAGCCAGAGAGCACCAGCCAGAGGACACCAGCCAGAGGACACCAGCCAGAGGACACCAGCCAGAGGGCACCAGCCAGCGGGCACCAGCCAGCGGGCACCAGCCAGCGGGCACCAGCCAGAGGACACCAGCCAGAGAGCACCAGCCAGCGGGCACCAGCCAGAGGGCACCAGCCAGAGGGCACCAGCCAGAGGACACCAGCCAGCGGACACCAGCCAGCGGACACCAGCCAGAGGACACCAGCCAGAGAGCACCAGCCAGAGGACACCAGCCAGAGGGCACCAGCCAGAGGGCACCAGCCAGAGGACACCAGCCAGCGGACACCAGCCAGAGGACACCAGCCAGAGAGCACCAGCCAGAGGACACCAGCCAGAGGACACCAGCCAGAGGGCACCAGCCAGAGGACACCAGCCAGAGGACACCAGCCAGAGGACACCAGCCAGCGGGCACCAGCCAGCGGGCACCAGCCAGCGGGCACCAGCCAGAGGGCACCAGCCAGCGGGCACCAGCCAGCGGGCACCAGCCAGCGGGCACCAGCCAGAGGGCACCAGCCAGCGGGCACCAGCCAGAGGGCACCAGCCAGCGGGCACCAGCCAGAGGGCACCAGCCAGCGGGCACCAGCCAGAGGGCACCAGCCAGAGGGCACCAGCCAGCGGGCACCAGCCAGAGGACACCAGCCAGCGGGCACCAGCCAGAGGACACCAGCCAGCGGGCACCAGTCAGAGGGCACCAGCCAGAGGACACCAGCCAGAGGACACCAGCCAGAGGACACCAGCCAGAGGACACCAGCCAGAGGTCACCAGCCAGCGGGCACCAGCCAGCGGGCACCAGCCAGCGGGCACCAGCCAGAGGGCACCAGCCAGAGGGCACCAGCCAGCGGGCACCAGCCAGCGGGCACCAGCCAGCGGGCACCAGCCAGAGGGCACCAGCCAGCGGGCACCAGCCAGAGGGCACCAGCCAGAGGGCACCAGCCAGAAGGCACCAAGAACAACCGTAACAGGAGACGTTATAACAGCCGTTCATGAGGCTACAGCCGCTGTGTGACTGCCATTTACAGTCCATGAACTAGTTAAATCTAAAAACAATCACAAGGCCTGCATTAATGGTTGATAAATTCACTTTTATTGAGTGTATATTCGAGAACTGTTGGATAACGAGGGATACTAAACGTTACAAATGCATATTTGAGTTAGGTTAACTACTAAAACCCTTGATAAAGTGAATATAATTCTGATTTAAAAGCCTAAAAAGACAAAATTCAGATCCCTATTACTTGAATTTACCGGAGGGACCACGATCTCTATTGACATCGATGGGAACAGGAAGCAGGCGGCTTGTCAAAAGTCCCACTCATTATTTCAAAATTTTCCCAGCTGAATTTTTAACCTAAGCATTATCTTGACATTTATGGCTTCGGCGGGGAATTTCTTGAGACTATTGCCCAATGGTTGAAGAAGTATCTGGTGTTCTCTGGTCTTCATTGTGGCTTGTTGAGCTCGAAGCTGTTGGCCTCTTGTGTGCCTTACACTTGACTGAAAAAAAGTGATGTGATTTAATATCTTCCAATTTGTCCAGAAATTTAGTGAACTCGAATGAGTTCATTATTCTAACAGGTGTACAGAGCCGTGAGACTGGTGTGAGAAGCTATAAGGCAGGTGTAGGGAGCACGAGACAGGTGTGAGAAGTAATAAGACAGGTATAGGGAACACGAGACAAGCGTGAGAAGTAATAAGACAGGTGTAGGGAGCACGAGACAGGTGTGAGAAGTAATAAGACAGGTGTAGGGAGCAGCGAGACAGATGTACTAGAGAGGGAGGTGATGCACGTGTGACAGGTGACAGTAATGCACACAAACAGTCATTAGACACTGGACAGTCTTAGATAATTACTTATTTCACATACGGGAGAGATGCCCCTGAAGCGTCCTTAACGTTACTATTGACTAACGTGGAGGATGTCTCTCTCTCTCTCTCTCTCTTTCTTTCTCTCTCTTTCTTTCTCTCTCTCTTCTCTCTCTCTCTCTCTCTCTCTCTCTCTCTCTCTCTCTCTCTCTCTCTCTCTCTCTCTCTCTCTCTCTCTCTCTCTCTCTCTCTCTCTCTCTCTCTCTCTCTCTCTCTCTCTCTCTCTCTCTCTCTCTCTCTCTCTCTCTCTCTCTCTCTCTCTCTCTCTCTTCTCTCTCTCTCTCTTTCTCTCTCTCTCTCTCTCTCTCTCTCTCTCTCTCTCTCTCTCTCCTCTATCTCTCTCTCTCTCTCTCTCTCTCTCTCTCTCTCTCTCTCTCTCTTTCTCTCTTTCTCTCTCTGTCTTTCTCTCTCTGTCTTTCTCTCTGTCTTTCTCTCTCTGCCTTTCTCTCTGTCTTTCTCTCTCTGTCTTTCTCTCTCTGTCTTTCTCTCTGTCTTTCTCTCTCTGCCTTTCTCTCTGTCTTTCTCTCTCTGTCTTTCTCTCTCTGTCTTTCTCTCTCTCTTTCTCTCTGTCTTTCTCTCTCTCTTTCTCTCTCTCTTTCTCTCTCTCTCTGTCTTTCTCTCTCTCTCTCTCTCTGTCTTTCTCTCTCTCTCTCTCTCTCTCTCTCTCTCTCTCTCTCTCTCTCTCTCTCTCTCTCTCTCTCTCTCTCTCTCTCTCTCTCTCTCTCTGTCTTTCTCTCTCTCTCTCTCTCTCTCTCTCTCTCTCTCTCTCTCTCTCTCTCTCTCTCTCTCTCTCTCTCTCTGTCTTTCTCTCTCTCTCTCTCTCTCTCTCTCTCTCTCTCTCTCTCTCTCTCTCTCTCTCTCTCTCTCTCTCTCTCTGTCTTTCTCTCTCTCTTTCTCTCTCTCTTTCTCTCTCTCTCTCTCTCTCTCTCTCTCTCTCTCTCTCTCTCTCTCTCTCTCTCTCTCTCTCTCTCTCTCACACCTATTAATATCACACATTTCCGTCACCCATTAACAATATTTTTGTCATTATTACATTAATTTCACCTATTAGTAGCCTCAATTATTGTCACACCTAAATTACCTCATTACTCTCACCTATTAATCAACAGCGTTACTCTCACCTTTCAACGAGGCAGTGGGGCCCTCTGTGGCCCCTGGGTGAACTATGTCAGGTGTGTATATGTGGCCCCCTGGGTGAACTGTCAGGTGTGTATATGTGGCCCCCTGGGTGAACTGTCAGGTGTGTATATGTGGCCCCCTGGGTGAATTATGTCAGGTGTGTATATGTGGCCCCCTGGGTGAACTGTCAGGTGTGTATATGTGGCCCCCTGGGTGAACTGTCAGGTGTGTATATGTGGCCCCCTGGGTGAACTGTCAGGTGTGTACATGTGGCCCCCTGGGTGAACTGTCAGGTGTGTATATGTGGCCCCCTGGGTGAACTGTCAGGTGTGTATATGTGGCCCCCTGGGTGAACTGTCAGGTGTGTATATGTGGCCCCCTGGGTGAACTGTCAGGTGTATATATGTGGCCCCTGGGTGAACTGTCAGGTGTGTATATGTGGCCCCCTGGGTGAACTATCAGGTGTGTATATGTGGCCCCCTGGGTGAACTATGTCAGGTGTGTATATGTGGCCCCCTGGGTGAACTATGTCAGGTGTGTATATGTGGCCCCTGGGTGAACTATGTCAGGTGTGTATATGTGGCCCCCCGGGTGAACTATGTCAGGTGTGTATATGTGGCCCCCTGGGTGAACTATGTCAGGTGTGTATATGTGGCCCCTGGGTGAACTATGTCAGGTGTGTATATGTGGCCCCCTGGGTGAACTATGTCAGGTGTGTACATGTGTCCCATGTCGTAACCCTTTGTTAATACTCAGTGTACACCTCTCTTTTGCTAAATTATTTCCAGGTTACGTATATATATATATATATATATATATATATATATATATATATATATATATATATATATATATATATATATATATATATATATATTATTAAATATGACCGAAAAAGTAAGATTAATAATTCTAACACGAATTTTCTCAATATTTCTTGTGTTTCTTTTCACTGTCGATGGTATTTGAAAAATCAATTCTCCAAAATTCATTTTTATTTCTAGTCTGACGCGACACTTGAACGCGTTTCGTAATAACTTATTACATTTTCAAAGACTTTAGTTTACACACACACAACTATAACCTGCAAACACTAAACAGAGTTCTACTATGCTATAATTTAAACGGCTTTTCATTTTATATACCTGCATTTAGGTGAGGTGATATGCTACAACAGTTTTGGATGAGGTGAAAACAAACTTTCAACACAAGATAGAACACGAAATATTGGGTAAATTTACAGGGAAGAATGGAAGTAAATGCAAAGGGCCTATTGGCCCATATTTCTTGATGCTTCTATATTGGTGCGGAGTCTTGAAGTGGGTAGAATATAGTTGTGCATTAATTGGCTGTTGATTGCTGGTGTTGACTTCTTAATGTGTAGTGCCTCGCAGATATCAAGCCGCCTGCTATCGCTGTATCTATCGATGATTTCCGTGTTTTTTGTTAAGACTTCTCTGGTGATGGTCTGGTTGTGGGAAGAGATTATATGTTCCTTATTGGAACCCTGTTGCTTATGCATGGGTAATCGCCTGGAAAGAGATGTTGTTGTCTTCCCTATATACTGAGTTCTTTGAGGCTTACAGTTCCCAAGTGGGCATTTGAAGGCATAGACGACATTGGTCTCTTTTAAAGCGTTCTGCTTTGTGTCTGGAGAGTTTCTCATGAGTAGGTTGGCCGTTTTTTTGGTTTTATAGTTTTATAGTAAGTTTTATAGACAATAATATATATATATATATATATATATATATATATATATATATATATATATATATATATATATAAATATTATATGAAAGGCTGCATGAACACGCAAACTATAGATCACTAAAAACTCTATATGACCCGACCAGGATTCGAACCCATGACGCCCAGGATCACCCATAAACGTACACAGTACCGTGACCAACATACGTTACTGTGGTGACCAGAAAGTACTTTTGTAACTGTGTGGGCCATCGTACATATAATGACCTAATAGATAATTAGGTAGTAGAATTTGGTACTATTCACTTTAATAGTCTGAAAAAATTAGGCTAAAAGCTTAACTTAAAATTTCTTAGGCCTATTAGAGGACATATATGAACTATGTTTATTTAGGTATTATTAGGATTATAAATACAAAATCTTTTCCGATTGTGTATTTGTTTCTAAATACAAAACACAAAATATTGTTACACGAAGTTAACTGTATTACGAGACCCAGGATGATGAGAGGAGCCTACCTTGAGGTGCTTCCGGGGCTTAGCGTCCCCGCGGCCCGGTCGTCGACCAGGCCTCCTGTATATATGTGGCTAGGTCAGCTAGGTCAGGATGACTATATAGCACATGGACGGGATGCCGGGACAGGATAGGACCTGGGGACAGGGGGCTAGAGTGAAGGAACCATCCCTATACACCTGGATCTTGGGGTATCGAACACTGACCTGCAAGAAGCGAGGCCGTTGGTATACCAACCAGTGTAGGCGACTGAGGCCTTACTGTAGCAGTATTATATAAAGTGTTGGTAATATATAGATGTCTCTGTCACTTACTGAAAGCACTTTCAGACCTTCGTTTGTCGTGTATTGCTAGAAAGGTGACACACTTTACTCCTGTCATGTGTTAAGTGTTAAGTGCCGGTGTTAAGTGAGCACGATACATGTATCCTTTTGATCCCCGAGTTTAGTATTTATGCATACTCACTTCACAGGTGTATATCTCAGCGCGCACCAGCAATCTTTTTCTCGAGCGCAAGGCCTTCCTGCCTGAGACAAGTGACGGCCGACATGCGGGCGGCTTTCATCTGTCGTTCCAGGCTCTCTGTGTGGTGCATAACTCTGTAGGTGGATAGTACACAGCTGCTGACTCTCCTTATCCATGTTAGTACACAGTTGCTGACTCTCCTCATCTATGTTAGTACACAGCTGCTGACTCTCCTCATCCATGTTAGTACACAGCTGCTGACTCTCCTCATCCATGTTAGTACACAGCTGCTGACTCTCCTCATCCATGTTAGAACACAGCTGCTGACTCTCCTTATCCATGTTAGTACACAGCTGCTGACTCTCCTTATCCATGTTAGAACACAGCTGCTGACTCTCCTCATCCATGTCAACACAGCTGCTGACTCTCCTCATCCATGTTAGAACACAGCTGCTGACTCTCCTCATCCATGTTAGTACACAGCTGCTGACTCTCCTCATCCATGTTAGTACACAGCTGCTGACTCTCCTTATCCATGTTAGTACACAGCTGCTGACTCTCCTTATCCATGTTAGTACACAGCTGCTGACTCTCCTCAGCTCTGTTAGTACACAGCTGCTGACTCTCCTTATCCATGTTAGTACACAGCTGCTGACTCTCCTTATCCATGTTAGTACACAGCTGCTGACTCTCCTTATCCATGTTAGTACACAGCTGCTGACTCTCCTTATCCATGTTAGTACACAGCTGCTGACTCTCCTTATCCATGTTAATACACAGCTGCTGACTCTCCTCATCCACGTTAGTACACAGCTGCTGACTCTCCTCATCCATGTTAGTACACAGCTGCTGACTCTCCTCATCCATGTTAGTACACAGCTGCTGACTCTCCTCATCCATGTTAGTACACAGCTGCTGACTCTCCTCATCCATGTTAGTACACAGCTGCTGACTCTCCTCATCCATGTTAGTACACAGCTGCTGACTCTCCTCATCCATGTTAGTACACAGCTGCTGACTCTCCTCATCCATGTCAACACAGCTGCTGACTCTCCTCATCCATGTCAACACAGCTGCTGACTCTCCTCATCCATGTCAACACAGCTGCTGACTCTCCTCATCCATGTCAACACAGCTGCTGACTCTCCTCATCCATGTCAACACAGCTGCTGACTCTCCTCATCCATGTCAACACAGCTGCTGACTCTCCTCATCCATGTCAACACAGCTGCTGACTCTCCTCATCCATGTCAACACAGCTGCTGACTCTCCTCATCCATGTCAACACAGCTGCTGACTCTCCTCATCCATGTCAACACAGCTGCTGACTCTCCTCATCCATGTCAACACAGCTGCTGACTCTCCTCATCCATGTCAACACAGCTGCTGACTCTCCTCATCCATGTCAACACAGCTGCTGACTCTCCTCATCCATGTCAACACAGCTGCTGACTCTCCTCATCCATGTTAGTACACAGCTGCTAACTCTCCTCATCCATGTCAACACAGAATAATACTTCATTGCTGATCTTGGCTGATGCCTCTCATAGTCTACATTTAAAATGTATATTAACTTGTATCCTGCTGAAACCCATCACCAGTTTGCTGTGTATGATGTATGTGTATACATCACCTATGTATGACTCGTGTATAAGTGATTGCTATGCACGACAAGACCATAAGAATAAAGGAATCTTCAGGAGGGCAGTTCAAGCCACACTAACTTATGTACTTAGTGAACCTTTCACTAAGTTACAAGAATGTGACGACTGATGGACTGCTTGGGATGACGATGACTTTTGGCCCGAAAGCTGGAAGATCTCCAACTGGACTTACAGGTTCTTACAGTGTGACTTACAGGTTCTTACAGTGTGACTTACAGGTTCTTACAGTGTGACTTACAGGTTCATTACACAGCTTACTTGGCTCAAGATCACTTCCCACCACCTCCTCCTGCTTTATTTCTTCTCTTAGTAAGTTCTTGCCAAGTTTCAGGGTGTTCGACCAACTGGTTGTCTTAGTTCCACGGTGTTCGACCAACTGGTCGCCTTAGTTCCACGGTGTTCGACCAACTGGTCGCCTTAGTTCCACGGTGTTCGACCAACTGGTCGCCTTAGTTCCACGGTGTTCGACCAACTGGTCGCCTTAGTTCCACGGTGTTCGACCAACTGGTCGCCTTAGTTCCACGGTGTTCGACCAACTGGTCGCCTTAGTTCCACGGTGTTCGACCAACTGGTCGCCTTAGTTCCACGGTGTTCGACCAACTGGTCGCCTTAGTTCCACGGTGTTCGACCAACTGGTCGCCTTAGTTCCACGGTGTTCGACCAACTGGTCGTCTTAGTTCCACGGTGTTCGACCAACTGGTCGCCTTAGTTCCACGGTGTTCGACCAACTGGTCGTCTTAGTTCCACGGTGTTCGACCAACTGGTCGCCTTAGTTCCACGGTGTTCGACCAACTGGTCACCTTAGTTCCACGGTGTTCGACCAACTGGTCGTCTTAGTTCCACGGTGTTCGACCAACTGGTCGTCTTAGTTCCACGGTGTTCGACCAACTGGTCGCCTTAGTTCCACGGTGTTCGACCAACTGGTCGTCTTAGTTCCACGGTGTTCGACCAACTGGTCGCCTTAGTTCCACGGTGTTCGACCAACTGGTCGCCTTAGTTCCACGGTGTTCGGCCAACTGGTCGCCTTAGTTCCACGGTGTTCGACCAACTGGTCGCCTTAGTTCCACGGTGTTCGACCAACTGGTCGTCTTAGTTCCACGGTGTTCGACCAACTGGTCGTCTTAGTTCCGCGGTGTTCGACCAACTGGTCGCCTTAGTTCCACGGTGTTCGACCAACTGGTCGTCTTTCACTTGTTTGTTTTGTACAAGACTTTATTTAATTCAGCGATAATAATTATCACTTAAGTGATAATTCATCTGCTATTAACTAGGGTTTTTGCTTCTGTCGCTAATTCACTTGCCTACTGGACCATTCACTTGCCTACTGGACCATTCACTTGCCTACTGGACCATTCACTTGCCTACTGGACCATTCACTTGCCTACTGGACCATTCACTTGCCTACTGGACCATTCACTTGCCTACTGGACCATTCACTTGCCTACTGGACCATTCACTTGCCTACTGGACCATTCACTTGCCTACTGGACCATTCACTTGCCTACTGGACCATTCACTTGCCTACTGGACCATTCACTTGCCTACTGGACCATTCACTTGCCTACTGGACCATTCACTTGCCTACTGGACCATTCACTTGCCTACTGGACCATTCACTTGCCTACTGGACCATTCACTTGCCTACTGGACCATTCACTTGCCTACTGGACCATTCACCTGCCTACTGGACCATTCACTTGCCTACTGGACCATTCACTTGCCTACTGGACCATTCACTTGCCTACTGGACCATTCACTTGCCTACTGGACCATTCACTTGCCTACTGGACCATTCACTTGCCTACTGGACCATTCACTTGCCTACTGGACCATTCACTTGCCTACTGGACCATTCACTTGCCTACTGGACCATTCACTTGCCTACTGGACCATTCACTTGCCTACTGGACCATTCACTTGCCTACTGGACCATTCACTTGCCTACTGGACCATTCACTTGCCTACTGGACCATTCACTTGCCTACTGGACCATTCACTTGCCTACTGGACCATTCACTTGCCTACTGGACCATTCACTTGCCTACTGGACCATTCACTTGCCTACTGGACCATTCACCTGCCTACTGGACCATTCACCTGGCTACTGGACCATTCACCTGGCTACTGGACCATTCACCTGCCTACTGGACCATTCATCTACCTACTGGACCATTCACCTACCTACTGGACCATTCACCTGCCTATTGGACCATTCACCTACCTACTGGACCATTCACCTACCTACTGGACCATTCACTTGCCTACTGGACCATTCAACTACCTACTGGACCATTCATCTACCTACTGGACCATTCACTTGCCTACTGGACCATTTAACTACCTACTGGACCATTCATCTACCTACTGGACCATTCACTTGCCTACTGGACCATTTAACTACCTACTGGACCATTCATCTACCTACTGGACCATTCACTTGCCTACTGGACCATTTTACTACCTACTGGACCATTCATCTACCTACTGGACCATTCATCTACCTACTGGACCATTCACCGGTCATTCACTAGTACTGGAATATCCCAAGGATATCAAACACTAGTACTGGAATATCCCAAGGATATCAAACACTAGTACTGGAATATCCCAAGGATATCAAGCACTAGTACTGGAATATCCCAAGGATATCAAGCACTAGTACTGGAATATCCCAAGGATATCAAACACTAGTACTGGAATATCCCAAGGATATCAAGCACTAGTACTGGAATATCCCAAGGATATCAAGCACTAGTACTGGAATATCCCAAGGATATCAAACACTAGTACTGGAATATCCCAAGGATATCAAACACTAGTACTGGAATATCCCAAGGATATCAAACACTAGTGCTGGAATATCCCAAGGATATCAAACACTAGTACTGGAATATCCCAAGGATATCAAACACTAGTACTGGAATATCCCAAGGATATCAAACACACTAGTACTGGAATATCCCAAGGATATCAAGCACTAGTACTGGAATATCCCAAGGATATCAAGCACTAGTACTGGAATATCCCAAGGATATCAAACACTAGTACTGGAATATCCCAAGGATATCAAACACTAGTACTGGAATATCCCAAGGATATCAAACACTAGTACTGGAATATCCCAAGGATATCAAACACTAGTACTGGAATATCCCAAGGATATCAAACACACTAGTACTGGAATATCCCAAGGATATCAAGCACTAGTACTGGAATATCCCAAGGATATCAAGCACTAGTACTGGAATATCCCAAGGATATCAAACACTAGTACTGGAATATCCCAAGGATATCAAACACTAGTGCTGGAATATCCCAAGGATATCAAACACTAGGGGCCCCCCGCTACATAGCACAGCACCTGGCGCCTTTTTCCTTCTCGACGGTTTAATACTCTCCAACATTTGTTCTTGAAGTTATGGAGGCAGAGTCCGCTTCTGCTTCATCCTTGCTTTTTCAGCGTCCCGCCAGCACGAAATACGAGCATTTCCTTAAGTTTTTCGACTCTTTGTTTTATCAGTTTTCAGTTATGAACCTCGGTCTGCCTTCCTGATCTGGATAAAACTGTAGCCTCGTATGTGTGTACCATGAGAGTGGCTCAATCTTCCAGTTTGTACCGTCAGGAGAGTGGCTCACTCTAAGCTTCCAGTGTGTGTACCGTCAGGAGAGTGACTCACTCTTCCAGTGTGTGTGTACCGTTAGGAGAGTGGCTCACTCTTCCAGTGTGTGTGTACCGTCAGGAGAGTGGCTCACTCTTCCAGTGTGTGTACCGTCAGGAGTGTGGCTCACTCTTCCAGTGTGTGTACCGTCAGGAGAGTGGCTCACTCTTCCAGTGTGTGTGTACCGTCAGGAGAGTGGCTCACTCTTCCAGTGTGTGTACCGTCAGTAGAGTGGCTCACTCTTCCAGTGTGTGTACCGTCAGTAGAGTGGCTCACTCTTCCAGTGTGTGTACCGTCAGGAGAGTGGCTCACTCTTCCAGTGTGTGTGTGTACCGTTAGAAGAGTGGCTCACTCTTCCAGTGTGTGTACCGTCAGTAGAGTGGCTCACTCTTCCAGTGTGTGTACCGTCAGGAGAGTGGCTCACTCTTCCAGTGTGTGTGTACCGTTAGAAGAGTGGCTCACTCTTCCAGTGTGTGTACCGTCAGGAGAGTGGCTCACTCTTCCAGTGTGTGTGTACCGTTAGAAGAGTGGCTCACTCTTCCTGTGTGTGTGTACCGTCAGGAGAGTGGCTCACTCTTCCAGTGTGTACCGTCAGTAGAGTGACTCACTCTTCCAGTGTGTGTGTACTGTCAGGAGAGTGGCTCACTCTTCCAGTGTGTGTACCGTCAGGAGAGTGGCTCACTCTTCCAGTGTGTACCGTCAGTAGAGTGGCTCACTCTTCCAGTGTGTGTGTACCGTCAGGAGAGTGGCTCACTCTTCCAGTGTGTACCGTCAGTAGAGTGACTCACTCTTCCAGTGTGTGTGTACTGTCAGGAGAGTGGCTCACTCTTCCAGTGTGTGTACCGTCAGGAGAGTGGCTCACTCTTCCAGTGTGTGTGTACCGTCAGGAGAGTGGCTCACTCTTCCAGTGTGTGTGTACTGTCAGGAGAGTGGCTCACTCTTCCAGTGTGTACCGTCAGTAGAGTGGCTCACTCTTCCAGTGTGTACCGTCAGTAGAGTGGCTCACTCTTCCAGTGTGTGTGTACCGTCAGGAGAGTGGCTCACTCTTCCAGTGTGTACCGTCAGGAGAGTGGCTCACTCTTCCAGTGTGTACCGTCAGGAGAGTGGCTCACTCTTCCAGTGTGTGTGTACCGTCAGGAGAGTGGCTCACTCTTCCAGTATGTACCGTCAGGAGAGTGGCTCACTCTTCCAGTGTGTACCGTCAGGAGAGTGGCTCACTCTTCCAGTGTGTACCGTCAGGAGAGTGGCTCACTCTTCCAGTGTGTACCGTCAGGAGAGTGGCTCACTCTTCCAGTGTGTGTGTACCGCCAGGAGAGTGGCTCACTCTTCCAGTATGTACCGTCAGGAGAGTGGCTCACTCTTCCAGTGTGTACCGTCAGGAGAGTGGCTCACTCTTCCAGTGTGTACCGTCAGGAGAGTGGCTCACTCTTCCAGTGTGTGTGTACCGTCAGGAGAGTGGCTCACTCTTCCAGTATGTACCGTCAGGAGAGTGGCTCACTCTTCCAGTGTGTACCGTCAGGAGAGTGGCTCACTCTTCCAGTGTGTACCGTCAGGAGAGTGGCTCACTCTTCCAGTGTGTACCGTCAGGAGAGTGGCTCACTCTTCCAGTGTGTGTGTACCGTCAGGAGAGTGGCTCACTCTTCCAGTATGTACCGTCAGGAGAGTGGCTCACTCTTCCAGTGTGTACCGTCAGGAGAGTGGCTCACTCTTCCAGTGTGTGTACCGTCAGGAGAGTGGCTCACTCTTCCAGTATGTACCGTCAGGAGAGTGGCTCACTCTTCCACTGTGTACCGTCAGGAGAGTGGCTCACTCTTCCAGTGTGTGTGTACCGTCAGGAGAGTGGCTCACTCTTCCAGTGTGTGTGTACCGTCAGGAGAGTGGCTCACTCTTCCAGTGTGTGTGTACCGTCAGGAGAGTGGCTCACTCTTCCAGTGTGTACCGTCAGGAGAGTGGCTCACTCTTCCAGTATGTACCGTCAGGAGAGTGGCTCACTCTTCCAGTATGTACCGTCAGGAGAGTATTTCTGCCACAAAGACTCCCGCAGGGAATGTCACACCGCGGCGACCACCCACTCAGTGCGCTCATTTCCCAAAGGCATTCTCAGATATGGTTCTAAACTTAACTTTTATAAGTAAAATTCGTGAGAATTTAGCAATAATAATTTGCTGTATGTTTGATTAGGTATTAAGTACACGCGAGAATAATAAATGAACAGAGGATGCGCATGTTTGCTCTTCTGAGTTGTCAGGATATTTTAAGGATGGTGAACGCCAAGAAAGTTCTGATTTTTTTACTGTTTTTATTCCACCAAAAGATATTTTATTCCGCTAGAAGCTATGGGTGTGTGTGCGTGGAAAAAAATTGTGTATCTATCTAGTGATAGTGTGTATCTATTGAGTAAATAATATTTAATTTTAGTCATAAACATCCAGATTAAAAAACGTTTCTGAAGGTGTACTAACCTTGCTGAACATTTGTTTAATTAACACATGTCTAACGCTTAATAAATCTGAAGTTGTTTGCGCCATTGCCTCGTAACTCTGAGAAGTTTCTTATTTCATGCTTTGTTAGAGTTTATTCCGTTAGATAAAGGTTTGAAGAACATAGGCTATCTAATTCTGATAATTGACAACTTGGGCACGCTGTTAACTCCCGCCATAACCGCTCCAACCCGTCCTCCTAAACGGACACGGGCTTGTTGACATTTAGCCCGTGACGGATATAACATCGAGAGGCGATTGGTTTTGTTAATATATTACGCACCCCGTACCCATCCTGTGGGCACAGGTGGAAAGATTACAGAGGAACATAATGGGCCCTTGAACTGAACCCCAACATTAATTTAACTAAGCAAGTAGAAAACTTTTTAAGCTATAGTTCAACATATATGTCAATAACCTTATAGCACAAGTGATCCAAGACATGACCCATAACATTTTTGGAGCCGAGCAGTTTACATCTGTGGTGAGCTAGTTCTAGTTTCTAAATCATGCATCCCATACCCATTGAGTAGGCTTGCAAATATGGGAAATTTACAGTACTCCACTTCTCGGAGTATAACACTTGAGTGCACACTTTAGTCCTTTACTAAAGTATACTTGGTGGTTGGTTGGGAAGCTTGTTGTGGCGTTAATAACCTTCCCACCGTTAATAAGTTGTTGCCCAACAACGCGCCAAAAAGTAGCCGAACTTGGTGACTTAGGGTAGTGTTGCGGCGCACGTCGCCGGGGGTGGACGTGTGTGGTATACGCTGCCAATTGTGAAGCAAGTTGTTATCCATTAAGGTGTGATGAAAAAGCCATTAGCACAAATTATCTGACTAAATAATAGGTCATTGATAATCATTTGAAATTGTATACAGAAAAGATTCGTCATCAGTGTTTATCAACATTTTTAATGTGAAATGAAATTACAGTGATAAGTGTTGACAGAAGTGCGTTGAAACCTAACCGTCAAGGATCTTATCAGTGTCAGGAGTAAAATGAAATGATACTGACAGTTTCTTCCCATTATCTGAAGTTTTTCTCGGTCACGTGCTTAGCAACACCGAAGAAATAAGGTTGTAAGTTTAGAACAAATAATTTTCCCAATTGTACCAAAGACAGGGTATCGTATGCCAAATGTACTAAACACCGGCAAGATCGTCTTCCAAGTGCACTCAACAGCCAAGATCGTCTGCAAGTGTAAGAGGTACAGGCAAGATCATCTGCCCAAGTGTATCAAAGAGGTAGAGTGGTGTGGCAAGTGTAGTGAACACCCACAAGATGTGGCTGACGGTGTGGCTGGTGCTGGCGCTGGTCTCCGCACAGGACACACAGTGAGTACGGCTGTTATTGTTGTTCCTGAGGCACCTGCTCTCATCCTCTAGGTTAATGGGAGAAGATGTATATGTTTTACCAAGTGCAGTCAATGGGTGTAATGGACTTTGCTTCTTTACGGGATTCATACTCTAATGGTGTGTACAGGGAGGCGAGGGTAGATTATCCAAAAAGATGTGCCATTTGTCGCAGTTATAATAATAATATTTTATTTAGGAAAAGTACATACATAGATGCAGTTACAAACATTCTGATTGATTTATAGATAGAGCTAGTACATACAGTACCTAAAGCCACTAGTACGCATAGCGTTTCGGGCATAGTGTATGAAGGTAACTGCAAAATATGGACAAACTGCAAATGAAAATTTTTTGTAACTTATTTAAGAGATATTTAAGAGCTCCTCTTCCCTAAGAAAATTTATATACAATCCAATGATTGCGCCATGTGATAGAAGGGAAGGGAACTATCAGGGAAAGGCGTCAAGCCATTACGACAATATAGCACTGGGAAGGGGTCAGGATAAGGATTTGGGATGGGACGGGGGGAAGGAATGGTGCCCAACCACTTGGACGGTCGGGGATTGAACGCCGACCTGCATGAAGCGAGACCGTCACTCTACCGTTCAGCCCAAGTGGTTGGGCACTTTGTGATAGATCTAAATTCATCGTTTTATGAGTAGAATCCGAGGAGAGACCGGAGGCCCAGAAACAAACTTTGTAATTAGAGCTCCTGATTCATCGCGGTGTCGCTTTGTGAGCATTACTCACAAATTACTCACATGGTCGTCATCATTTAGGTAGTGTGTGAACATGGATGCCAATTTGCGCTAATGTATTTTTAATATGGCACTTAAAGTTATAATTTATTAAACTTGCGTTGTAAAATTGTGGACAATTTAAGCTTTGGCGAGGCTTTTTATTGTATATTCCATAATATATATTTTGTATATGTTTATTTATTTACAAGGATGAGGTACTTGTCCATGTGCAGTCGATGAGTCACAATAACGCGGCTGAAGATATGATGACCAAACTACACATCATAAATTTTCTCATTATAATGTACGGAAGATTCATCTTGTCAATTTGTTGTCTACTGAATAAGTTAAGAACTGCATTAACTTAGTTTTTACTAAGTCTGTATATGACTTATTGCAAAGGCTGGAGATAATGAGACTGAACACACATATCGAGTTGTGTAATCGTCTGCGTTTGCAGGAACAAGGGCTTCTGAGCCCTGCTCTTAACCACCAATCAATCGTCCGACTCCCATGGTTATAATGGTATTTACACATGAGCTCATTGATTGAGTTGATCTCACTCCTTACTCTTTTAGTGTGTTCCTCTCTCACGCTACCCTCACACTGAGGGGGAAGGGGTACTGTGTTCAGCATCACTTGCGAACTCTTCTCGTAGTCTCGGAAATAATAAACAGCCTCTCCATATCAACCTTGTCCTTTCCATTGTTACTTACATGTGACGAGTATGCATACCTCTTTTGTCAGTTTCTCCAGCTTTGAGAATTTTAGTTATATTAGCCTGCCCTCAGGAGTTCTGGACCTTATATTGGAGGTCAGTCTGGTGGCAGAGGTTCTGATATTTTAAAGTTTTTTTTAATTGCTAGGGAAGGTGTTGGTTTCACGCTGGTGCTGCATTCGCCAATGTTGGTCTCACATATGTGGTGTACAATATCCCTAATGATTTCTTGTTAAAATTATTGATACGAATACATGTTTGCCAGTATGGCATACTTCGATAACACTATCTTGTTGATATTACTCATGATTGGTCGTGATGTTCACCAATGTGACCCTTTATCTGACTACAACCGTATTTCTCAATTCATACGGAACTATCGACCTTGTTTCATCATCTCTCACTATTTTGCATATATTGGTATTGAACACGAGTACGTTCAACACCAAAACGTAAGTTCAGTTCACGAGAACTTAGACAGTTCTTGAATCCCAGCGTTGAACACGAGTACGTTCAACACCAAAACGTAAGTTCAGTTCACGAGAACTTAGACAGTTCTTGAATCCCAGCGGGCAAAACCTGCTCAGGCAACGTTGAGTCAGTGTTATATCCACGTCATTTGCCAGATGAGAGGCTTGTTTTTGTTTTCAAACAACTCGTTTTAGTGTGTCATCTGCTGTTATATTCTGCGCATAAGTTTCTCATCATCTGCAAAACTCGGTGTGACAATCTATTTTACTACACAGGTCGTCAACGTATATAAAACGTTGGGGCTGAGTGTTGACCTTTTTTTTTAAGATTACTTTATTTTAACTTTCCAGCCAGACATTTCTCTCAATGAATGTAATTGCTTAATTGTAGTTAACAATTCATAATTAGTGACCCGTCTTATTTGTAAATTCTATCATACTTCATTTTGAATTCGTAGTTATCGAATTCGCCACCAATTTCATTATACTTATTAAAAACATACTTCTTTATATTTGTTTCTGCTTCTCTGCTTTCTCAGCCTTCCGGCTCTGTACACTGTCAATTGTAATATTAATATATCTTCTCTGTCTACATTATTTTCCTGACTATTTTATAGGCAGTAACCATGTTTCGTTTAACGTTTGTACCTAGGCTACCAAATTAGGAGGCTCGTTTTTAGTCTGTTCCTCGTAGCTTTGAAACCCATATTGCTCTGTATCTTTGAACATTTTGTCTTAATCATGTTCTTTCTTAAATATAAACACTCGTTCGTTCTTAGTTTCCACCTATTTAGAGGAAGGTTGCCATGGCGGGGTTAATGATACGACCTGCTGGAAAGTTGCGCCCATGGGCTCACCATAGCCCGTGTTACCTGGAACTTTTTGTTTCAGGTAGCGAATCTTTAACAACAACAACAACAAGTTGCTCCCCAAAGCACACGTGAGCCACGGACTCATCCACTTGGGCTGGATTTTCTGATCGGATCTGTTTCCTGTTTAGCTTATTATACTTATGATAGGCTTTCTGTCGACAGTAGGAGTGAAGGCAAATGGCTAGCGAACACCACTGCAATGGACACGCAAATAAGAAAATAATGGAGAAATCGTCCAAACTATTTGTGCTGTGCTATGGTACTTTAAAGAAAGTAACACAAACAGTACCAAGGACCAACAGACCTACTTTAAGTTACGAATATCATAAATCTGGCTCTGACGGAATATTAATAATTCATTATAGCACTTGTCAAAATATGTAAAAGATTACATTTTCAGATTTTGTAGCACAATGGTCTACGTCCTAGGCTCATATTCGAGGAACCAAAGTTCTATTCCCGGGCAGGCAGAAACGGTTTAATCCGTTTCCTTTCACCCGATGCTGCTGTTGACCTACAAGTAAACTATGTACGCGAGAGTTTGGTAATTGTTGTCGGTTGCATCCTGGGGAAGGTCAGTAGTTGGTCTAGGGGATCTCCATAAGCCAAACATATGATAGCCATCATATCTCCGACAACAGGAATTATTATATCACACAAATGAATTCTAACTACTACAATGTTAATACAAATAATGATATACACCAAAGTATATTGTGTTGGGTTTGGAAAATACTAGGTCACACGAGATCAGTCCGGGAACGCCATTTGAAAATTTAGCATAGGTTTAGGATGGTCTTGCTCTCTATATTGAGATAATTTTTGCTATCCTTTCCCCTGGCCACTTCGGATGGAGGGAAGGTGTTGATATGGCTTCGGGTCCCCCGTCCTGCCATCTACAAGGCGTGACAAGACAGCCTAGCCTGCTGCTTAGGTAGTACAGTAACGATGACGACCAGCGTACCTATATTGACGTAAAAGCCAATTAGAAAGTAAAAATTTGTACTATTGTATTTAAACAAACCGGACAATTGTTGTACTCATGTTACCAAGAAAACGTTAACCTAACGTAACCGTTTTAGGCGCAATACACACTATCGGAGACGTAATGTAGTACATCTATGTGCTATACTAGACCTAGAAATATTTAAGTTTGGTTTTACATTTATTTTTTCAGACTATAAAGTGAATAGTATCAATTTCAACTATGTTCATTACGTTTATGTATGTTTCCTATGGCGCACATAGTAACAAGGAGTACTATATAAACACGAGGACGGGTTGGGCAAGAGAGCACACTAAACACACATTTATCTAACAAGAACTAAAATATATAAAATGATAGTTGTTCCGTCTCAAAGGAGTTAAGGTAATAATAATGAGTTAGTAGTGTAATTATTTTTTATTTGTTTTTATTATAACAGCACACAAAGGTAGGGTACACAGTATTTGCAATAAAAATATATTACAGGCTGAAGGAAAACAAGAACAAGTTGCCTAAACGACAGATAAGGACAGTCTGACATTGAAAATAAAACTCCAGTGGCAGCTCCTTGCAAGGCCCCGGAGCGGAAGGGGTATCTTGTATGGGCATGGGGGGCCCCTCTGGCCGCCGCCATACCCACCCGTGGACGGCGCCCAGGTCGTCCACCCTCCTGTGAAAAGCCATCGGGGAAGTGGTACTCCTTGATGATGTCACTACCCAGTTAGCTACCAACTGTCCTGGCCTGGGGGTCTCACTTTGCTTGACACCTGGTTGATGGGGTTCTGGGAGTTCTACTCCCCAAGGCCAGGCTTGACTTGTGAGAGTTGTGAGTCCAGTACTGTGGAGATTCAATCCTCTGTTGAATGATCAAATTTGTCACTGGACATAAGTCTGGTGAACCAGATATCGTAGCCGGATTGCACGCCTGCGTTTCAATCGTTTCAATATGGACATGATTGAGGTCCTCCTATAATTAAGAGCTTGGCCTTATTAGGTACCACCATTCACTTCCTATTGTCTCGTGTTCACTGGAACATTACACCAACACCTGATCATTTGTTATCTATATTTATATTTACAAGATGTAGTACTGGAAGCACTATATAGCACTGGGAAGGGGTCCTTATCCTGACCCCTTCCCAGTGCTATATAGTCGTAATGGCTAGGCGCTTTCTCCTGATAGTTCCCTTCCCT